TTTCCCTTCCTTTCCTCCCCTGTACATGTCTCTACTACCTCATCTTCTGTCACTTCAGCAAAAGTGGGCTGGAGAAAATTTGGTAATGAAATGCTCATTCCCAATCTTCATGTTTGGATCAAGCCTTTCTGATATTCTGGTTTAAAATTTTTATTTAAAGCCTTTGCACATACTATTTAACAATAGTTCTATGGCTTGTTAACTACTCTGTATCAGAAATTAGAAAAAGTTTTTTTTAAAAAAATCTTTCACTTCTGGAATCCCACAGTCAATGTGGACAATTAGCCGTGATGCCTGAGGGATTCTGGGAGCTGCACTCAAAATAAAATTCAGCTTTTAGATTCTGATCTATCTAGGGATGTTTTGCACACATGTGCCCCATAACCATTTAAATGAGTCGCTACAATATATTGCAATAATTGACCATATAATTGACCATCTCCTCATCAGACAAAAGCAATGGTTTATTTGTACTCTGAATTAGATGGTTATTTAATCAGCAACTGGTGTGCTGTTGTCGCCAGTTGTATTATAATTGATAGATTTAGTGTTGTAGCATCAAAAAGGAGAAAGAACCACTTTCCTATTGGATAGTTTTGATTTTTGGTTGTTTGTTTTTCCCTCCCCTTCTTATTTTTATATTGTTTGTTTTCAATATTGTAAGCCACCTCAGTACTCTTGAAGTAAAAAGTGGGATATACTTTAAATAAAATAAATACAAACTATACAGAATGCATTCATATAAATGCACAGAATGCATTCCATTGGAATGAAATCCTTCCCTATAAATTTATTTTAAAAAGTAATCTCCAGTTCTGTGTATAAATTGGTTTTGCTGTTCAAGTTAATACTACATTCACAACAACTCTATTTTTTATCTTTATGCATCAGGTATCTTTTAATCAGCTGGACAGATGGCAACTCCCAGGACTTGCAGGAAATACATAGTTTAGATTTAAAGTCGCATCATGCATATCCAGACAAATCAAATCAAATAAAACCATCTGAGCCTGGGTAAATCTGTAGCTTTGATCTCTCTGCTGGCTGCTCCCCACAACTTTTTCTGACACATATGGTTAAAATGGAGCCAAGCAGGAATTGTGGAGTTCTTGATTCCCTTGAGAACAGGCCTATTTGTCTTGCAACTCATAAGCTTGAGCTGTGTTGCCGCTCCAAAATCTAAATTGTGGCTCAGAAACAGTATTGCTAAAGGCTATGTCCTGTTTTGTGTAATCTCTGCTGTCTTTCAGCAGAGATTACAATGGTGATTGTAGAAGGGATTGTAGAAGGATGAAGTAAGATGCTTCCATAAGAGTCTTTTTATTGCTGATTGTAGAAGGGATTGTAGAAGGATGAAAGATGCTTCCATAAGAGTCTTTTTATTGTACATCAGGCAAAAGCCAAACAAAAGTCAAAAACATATGGCACCTTAAAGGCTAACTATTATTTTTTAATGGAAGCTTTCATGAACATGTCCACTTTGTCAGACCTTAGGAAACATTTATTGCACAGCCATCTTGTCTTGTTTCATGGAATTTCAGGGGAAGGGGTGCAGATTAGCCATTAATCTTCCCATGCTTTTCCACCTTCTTTCTTACCATAAACAATCCACAAAGGAAAAGAAAGAATAACTGCAAACAACTTTCTAACTGCTAGAACTCCATCTGGAAACAAATGGTTTATACAAACTAAGTGAACAACAGCCTTAGATTGTGGCAAGGCTCCTCAGAATAGAAAAAGGATGCACACACACATTGTTATAAACCTGTTGTTATAATAATGCACATTTTGAGTAACATAATGACATAACTTTGACAGACATTTGGATCTTAGAATGCTTTAGCTAGGTTCTGGAGAGCACCCATAATTACTGTTTGACCCCCTGAAACACATGCAGAGGTAGCACTTACCCCAACTAGGGAATATGTCAGGTTATGTTGTTTGAGCTGGCCCAAATGAGCGGGAAGTCATCAGCAAAGATTGCTCTGAATAATTACAAGGTTGATTGCTTGGTGAGCTAGTAAAGAGGAAAGTTGGAATAACAGTGGTAACATTATTACTTACCCTTGGAAGAAAATGAGCATAATAAAATAACCACAAAAAGATGCAAAAAAGGAATAGTCGTAGTCCTGCAGGTGATCACTATGGCAACTAGGTAAGCAACTTCAGCGCCAACAGTACAATTAGACAGGGAGGCAGCTTACTTTGGACAGCAGATTTTAGACCATCAAAGAAATTTTACCACCATTGATGGTACCATTTAGTTGCTCTGGATACCCTTTTAGGGTAGAACAGTTTTGTAGACATTTGATTTAAATAAAATGTGTTATTTTCTCCTTCAGACAACAAATGTCTTGGCTTGTTATTCTACAACATGACAAAAGAGGAAATTAAGACGTTTCTATTTAACAATATACATACCTATTATTTACACAAGTTCTAGCCAGATATACATAAAAACCCAATTTTAAAATGTTAACAATTATCTTCACTACCTAGCCCACCAAAACTATATATCCACCCCGATCCACCGAAAACAAGATTAATTAAGAAAACCAAACAAACACTAAAGGTTCACAGTCTTGGAAACTGTGCAATCTAAAAACATTTTCAAAGTTTTTCGCCTGGGTATTGAAAATATTTTTCCCCCAAAAGTGTTCCTCTTTCCAAAATGTTTAAAGTAATGTTGGGTTTAGGACCCAGAGAATGGCAGATGTGGGTGGATCAAATGAGGAATCTGTACCCAAGACCGCTCCATGGGTTGAATGTCTATAGATCCAGTTCCCCATTCTCATTCTCCTTGCCAGTGCTCTCTGGATCAGGACCAGGAAAAGGAGGGAGGACTGTAATGTTGAAATGATACTTGGAGGCTTCAGTTCCTCCTTTTGTCCTTGACCCCCTTCTGCCTTTGGCATTTCAGGCCACTAGCTGGAAGTCTAAAGTCCTTTCACCATGACTTCACTGATGCTAGTTTGTGTGTGTGGGGGTAAGCTTGGGGGCAGAGGTCCCCACTTGGCAGACCGAGCAGGAAGGCCCTCAAACAGCACAGGGCCAGGGCACCACATTTTGGGGAAAAAAGCAAATAATAAACATTGCCACTTAAAGAAGCAGCACAGGTTCATTAAATCCAGAATCTGAAAGAAGGCTGGATAACTCGTGGTTAACTCGAGGTGGAACACAGGAAAACAGGGCAAACTTACTGCGTATTCCTTTACTGATCATGAATAGCCTGTCTTCCCCACTCGTAAAAAAACAATTACAGTTGAATAGTACAGTTGCTATTTTCCTTCTGCCAGGCTATGCGTGCCTTGAACAGATGTACAGGCAGGCTGAAATTCAACAGGCACCAGCATTCTCTGGCAAGGCGGTGAAAAGATTGGGGAAAGTGGCACCGGTTGAATCCTTGCTGTCGTTATGCACTCTCTCGCTCCTGCCCAAACAGGCCCTTGAACCTGAGCAAGAGGAGGGACCGGCGTGTCCCGGCGCTTACACAAAAGTGACTTTCCGGGGCTCCAGCTCCCAAGGTCCCCAGGACCTCCGAGCTGCCTCGCCTTCCCGAGTCTGGGTCAAAAAGGCAAAGGAACTTTTCCCCGAGCTCTGCCTGGGAATGAATTCCCACGGGGGAGCCCTTGGGTGGGGCGCAAAGTCTGGGTCCAGCGGGCCCCGAAGGGGTCGAGTGGGGCGCGGCCGCCCGGCCTGCCGGCTCCCGGGCTTGCCGAGGGGGGGGCGCGCTGGGGGGGGGCCCTGGGAGCCCGCCTGCCCAACCCCTCGGAGGAGGTGACCAGCCTCCTGGGCGCAGGCGGCGTTTCTCTGCTACCGCCTCCTTCCCTCGCTCCGGCGCTGCTCCTCCCGCCGCCGTTGTCAGAGCTTGAGGAGCCGGCCGGCCGCGACACCGGAGGAGGAGGAGGAGGAAGAAGACCTGGGGCTGTCCTGCGGCTGCCCGTATCCCCACCACCCGGGTGAGTATGGACCGGCTCCGTGGGGCGCGGAAACTTCCCGCTCCCTTGAGGCGGCGAGCCTCCCGCCCGCAGTTGCCTCCTCAGAGCAAGCGAGCCCCTGCCGAGGGCGACTTTCCTCGCGGTCCCTGGGGCTCCGTCGCTCCCACCTCCAGGTTAAAAAAAACGGGGGGGGAGCGAGAGAGGGAAGGGGCGCGTGCTGCGTGGATTTTGCTCCTGAGGGCTCCGGCTGGAGTTGGGGCTCCTGCGGGGGCGCCCCTGGCGGAGGGAGACCCGACAACGTGCCGAGGGGAAGCGTGCCGAGTAAATCCCCCTCCGCCCACGGAGGATGGCATGCCTTGGCATCCCACCCACGCCGCTGCTTACCCCCCCCCATCCAGTCGTTTGCGGCTCAAATTCCTCGTATTGTGTTATGCTACTTCTGATGATGATGATGACTAACCCTCCCCTCCACCCACCTGGGTGAGAGGGCAAGGTAGCTCTGGGCTTCGGGATCCTGAAAGGGGAGATTTCCAAACCGCCTCCCCCCCTCCAAACACACCGCATTTGAGGCGGGGGGGGGGGGAAAGGAAGGTACGGGGGAGATCAATGAGGAAACAGGCCGAAAGGGGGCTGAAACCCTTAGGCTTCTGGGTTCCTGACCTGCTTCTCAGCCCTTGGGAGACTCCTTCACGGAGAAGCCTGGGGTGACAGCGATCTGGCTGCTGCCTCTGATGAGGGGACGTCTGGTCTTCCCCTTCTATAGGGTGAAGGGATCTGCTTGACGTTTGTCGTCTTGTAAGTCGTTGCTCAGGAAGAACCCAAAAGAAAGGTACCGGTCCATGGGGTATTAAGATTATATATTGCAAGTAACTTTCCGAAGTAGCGATGTTTGGTGCTGTAGGACGCGGAGGGCAGCTTCAGTTGCTTCCAATGTGGCAAACAAAATATCTGATTATTATTTCCAGTGGAAAAGAGCCAATGTGGCAAACAAAATATCTGATTTTTTATTTCCAGTGGAAAAGAGGGTTTGATTTGATTTGATTTTGCATCTTCTTGGTTATTGGGTCTTTGATATCCTGGAATGAGAGGAACAAAAGACCCCTCACAGCACCCCTTGATTCCTGAGAGTGAGTCCCACCTTCCAGGTCTTGGTAGTTAATCAAGAAAGACCTGGGACTGAGGTTGGGCAATGCCCCATTTGCTCTAACTGGCCAGCCACCATTGACCTTGCCCCGAGATTTGGGGTTACCTCCATCCCTGTTACAACCCATTTTAGACATACGACGCTCTGTGCTGCAACAGTTCCAAGATTCCCTTGGTCCGGCCTTCCTCATCAAGAATGGCAGCAGGCCGTTTACCAGAAATTGGCTTGTAGCTCACCATTGGGCTGATAATGGTCTGGCTTCTGCCAATGCAAACCTCCTGCCATAGTTGTGACCCAGGCGAGGGGTAACCCCAAATCCTGGGGTAAGGTCAGTTGAAGCTGGCCAGTTAATGGGGCACTGCCTGACCCAAGCCCCAGTTTTGTCCAGTGAGCCTGATCTTTTCATGGATGGTGAGACCTGTTCCATTAACCACAGTGTCTGTGTCATCTGTGTCTGCCCCCATGGACTGTGGATTGCCTATGTTGTGCAAAATGATGGTTTCAGTTTCCTTGCTACCTTGTCAAATAGTGCCTCAAAGCAATGTCCCAAGTTTATACATCTTCAGGCATTTCGTCTAAATTCATTCAAGGTTAACCAAAAATGGAATCCTTAATATGCATGTTTAGCTTTGTGCACTAAAACCGACTAGTAGGTAATGCTGTTGTTTAAGCAGATCATAGAATACTGAAATTAACCTGTTGCTGAGGCAGGTGATCACTTCTCAATCCCTTCATTTAGTTTCTTTCTGCAGCGTATGCATAAGATAACAAACTGACCCATAGGATAATATTTCTCAAACTTCTTGAAAATAAAAAGTCTTTCCCCCTTTAAACTTACTATAGCTTCTCCCACATCTTAATGTCATCTATCTGTCACACAGGCAGCTATGTGGCAATCTTAGTATACACACCCATGAGCATAATGCTATATGTGAGGATTGGGATACTAATTGAATACTTATGTTAGAAGAGAACAAGTTATTTCTGGCGCATCATTTAAAGCAGTGATTCCCAACCTTGGGTCCCCAGATGTTCTTGGACTAAAACTCTCAAAAGCCTTCACCACCAGCTGTCCTGGCCAGGATTTCTGGGAGTTGTAGCTAAATAACATCTGGGGACACAAGGTTGGAACCAATGATCTAAAGTGATGTGTTGGAAATATTGGATCAACTGGCAAAGTTTTTATTTTCATTTCCTCAGGAAATATCTAATTTTAATATTCTGTGCTAAATTCTGTGCTTCTTATGATGTAAGATATTCATAAATATGTAATAAATCATAAATATTTAGTAAGAATATTCTGTGCTTCTTATGATGTAATAACAATGATTGGGAGGGAAATGGGTAATAGTGACCTAAAGTTCAATTTTTGTTTAAGATGGAAACATATGCTGTTTTTATTCACACAGTTTCTCTTTAAATAACTGTCTGAAAACTTTTCCTCCCCTTTGTCTCTTTACTGTCTTTCCTCCAAGCCACCAGGGTCATCAAACATCAAATCAGCACCAGAGACACACTGAACTCATTCATGGTCAGGAACAGAAGAAAGCTACTTTGTGCTGGGTTAGCCCTTTGGCCCCTTAAACCCAGTTCTGACTGCCTATAACTCTCCAGTGTTTCTGGCAAACCCAACTAGAAATGCTGTTTGATCTGATGTGTGCTCCACTCTACCAGAGATGACGTCAGGTTCAGTTCTCAGACCATGTAAATAACTCTAGGAGAGAATCCTGCCTGAAGCCCAAGAGAGCTGTTGATAGTAAAAATTGACAATATTTGGGTAGATCAGTGGTTCCCAACCTTGGGTCCCTAGACATTATTGGACTGCAGCTCCCAGAAGCCCTTTCCATAACAGCTAGTGGTGAAGGCTTCTGGAAGTTTTAGTCCAAGAACATCTGGGGACCCAAAGTTGGGAAATACTGGGCTAGATGGGCAAACAGTTTGACTAATGATCAACACATTGTTGTTATTATGTGTCAAGTCACCTCTGACGTATGGCAACCCTATGAATGAGTGATTTTCCACATGTCCTGTCCTCAACAGCCCTGTTCAGCTCTTGGAAACTCAAGCTTCTGGCTTCCTTGTTGGGGTCAATCCATTTCATATTTGGCCTTCTTTTCCTGCTGCCTTCAACTTTTCCTAGCATTACAGTAATATCTTTAATATCTCATTATGTGCTCAAAATAGGACAGCCTTCATTTCATCACTTTTGTCTCCAAAGATAGTTCAGGCTTGATTTAACCTAGGACCCATTTGTTGTATCTTTCTGTCAAGCCAGGGCATATGCAAATCTATCCTCCAGTACCACATTTTGATTAAATCATTTTTTCCTATCAAGTTTCTTAACTGTCCAGTTTTCACAGTCATACCAGGTGACTGGAAGTACAGTAGTGTGGATGATCTTGGCCTTGGTCTCCAGTGACACATACTTGCCCTTCAGTATGAGGCACCTCCTTATGGTTCTGTCCTTGTACTGACTTCTTATTGCCTGCAAATTACCAAAAAACCAAACAAAAACAAAAACAAAAAAAATCTTCTCTGTGTCATGGTATACCAAACAGCATAATAGTATCCATGGCCTGCAGGGATGTGCCCCCCTCTTCCTTTGAGCCACAGGCTACATATTATGGGCCGTGATTTTTGAGATGCATGGTTATGACATTCCTTAACAATTTCCGAGTAAAATAAGTCCAAATAAGTCAATCTCTTTTATTTCTTTATATCATGAAGAACAGCTTTTGATAGAAAAGTGGGTTCATTTCATAGGATTCTGGAAATGGGATCGAGAAAATGCAGTCAAGCCTTAACTTAGCTTTGGTTGGTTGTCTCAGAGGTAGTGAAATTATCTCCATATTGCAATTCTGCTGGAAACAGTAATTCTTTTGAAAGTTTGAATGATCTCAAATTCAGGGGCTTTACATGAGATATGAGATTTTCATTTAGAATGCTTAAATTGCAGATCATGTTATTCCGACTGCAAGGACCCTATCGTTATTTTGACTGGGATTGTATTTGCTCCTCTTTGCAGAAAATAAGTTTGCCCCAATCCATGAAAAGATCAAACAGATGGTAGTACCAGATATGGATTTTTCCAGTTATACATTTCAGTTTTTAGACTATGCTGACGTTTCGGTTTCAGACTACACTTCTAAGTTGTGTTGATATTAAATATTGAATTACTTAGATACAATTTGGCAACTGAAGGGGAAAGCTTTGGCGAGAGGGAACAAAACTGGCTTCTGTGTGCCATCACAAAACCAAGCAGCTTCAGTTTGTAGAGCTTCCATCTGAAGCCTTCAGCCCTCTGTATTTCTGGCTTAGCTCCCTGGCAGTCAAGAAACAGCTTTCCCTGCCTGACCAAGTTTCTCCTGTTTTCCAGTCCCTACTGGAGTCAAAGCTGGCTCCCAGCTGAATGGGCCATTCTATTTACTCTTTACTTGTACAGTATATATGATCCATACACACTGAAGTTTCATGTTGTGACATGAAGAGATGGTCATATGTTTTCAATACAGTATCTCAAAAATGCCATGAATATCGAGGAATTTGGCTGTATGGATGGCGTGAGCATAGTGGGTAGTTTTCTTATAGTTGTTTTTGATTTTTTCAAGCAAATACACCGTATTTACTGAAGAAGCACAGACATTTAATAGTTATGATTATGAGAAGGCTATATTTTTAACTGTTTATACTATATTAAAAGGTGTGAAGCCTCTCTGCTGCAAGGTCAGAAGACCTGCAGTTGTAAGATCGAATCCACGGGATGGGGTGAACCCCCGTCGCTTGTCCCAGCTCCCACCAACCTAGCGGTTTGAAAGCATGCAAAATGCAAAAATGCAAGTACAGTAGATAAATAGGTACCATCTAGGTGAGAAGGTAAACGGCGTTCCGTGTCTAGTCACGCTGGCCACGTGACCACGGAGGATTGTCTGCGGACAAAAGGCTAGCTCTATGGGATGGAGATGAGCACCGCCACCTAGAGTCGGACATGACTGGACAAATTGTCAAGGGAACCTTTACCTTTACTAAAAGGTGTGATACTTAATATGGTGTGATACTCAATGTAATGTGAGTATTTTTGTTCCTGCTTTCATAACTAAAGGTAGAGGAGTCGTTGTTTAGTCATTTAGTCATGTCCGACTCTTCGTGACCCCATGGACCAGAGCATGCCAGGCCCTCCTGTCTTCCACTGCCTCCCGGAGTTGTGTCAAATTCATGTTGGTCACTTCGGTGACCCTGTCCAACCGTCTCATCCTCTGTCGTTCCCTTCTCCTCTTGCCTTCACACTCTCCTAACATCACGGTCTTTTCCAAGGAGTCTTCTCTTCTCATGAGATGGCCAAAGTATTGGAGCCTCAGCTTCAGGATCTATACTTCCAGTGCGCACTCAGGGTGGATTTCCTTTAGAATTGATAGGTTTGTTCTCCTTGCAGTCCAAGGGAGTAGTTCTGTTAATTTATTTAATTTGTTACATTTCTATCCTGCCTTTCCTATAGTGAGCTTGGGGTGGTGCACATGTTGTTCCTCCTCCTTACTTTATTTCACAATACCTCTATGGAGCAAGTTTGGGATCATGCCAGTGAGTTTCATGGCTAATTAGGGATCTGAACCCAGACTTACTGAGTGCTAATCCAAAACCCTATAGGTTTCAGTAATCTGAATGTGGTGGAATGTGATACATCTCTATAATGAAATCCATTATGGAGTTTATTGTTATCAGTTTATGACTTGCTTTTAAAATAAGTTGCTTAACACAAACCTAAGCATGCTTATTCACAGTCTTTGAGGCTTGCCAGAAAATAGTTAATGAAGTTGGAGCATGCAAGGCAAGAAGGCAGTATCTGAGCCCAAGGATTGCTCATGTTATGTCAAGTCAAGATATGAATTAGCTGAACCCTCTAGCTCACTTCAGACTTTGTGCTGTCATCTTCTAGATCAGTGGTTCCTAACCTTGGGTCCCCAGATGTTCTTGTACTGCAACTCCCAG